CTACCCAAATTTTCCTTTTTCTTCCCTTGCATCAAAACGATTGATAAACAAATTCATCCTGCACCTCAGTGATCAGCAGGAATAGAAAACCCTACTATGCCCGTGCCATCACCCATGGGGGACTCTTGCTCCCCCAGCACCAAACCCCAGTGCAGCACTGGCTCACAACAGTCAAGCTGGTTGCCCCAATTGCTAAAAGGTGCTGCCACTTTGCCAAGGGCTGAAAACATCAATAGGGAGATTGCCGTTTCCAGGCTGGAGTGCAATCATCACGGGACTTCCCCCAAAACAGTTCCATATGGGCAAGGGGAAACGCGATCGACCCTAAGACCCCCTATGCAGTGGCTTCCGCCTTTGGGCTCCCAATTCACCGGGAATATATGTGTATTTGCGGCAAGGCAAGCAGACCATCGGCCACAGGGTCTTAAACTGTTCCAAAACCAAAGGGGCCCTGGATGCAAGACAAAAGAGGTCAACGACATCATTAAGAAAACCCCTTGTACAGCTGGATGCCCTGCCGAGAGGGGAGCACGATCACTTGCAGCAAACAATACCCACAACCCAGCAACGCCCGACGGGATCCCATCTTCCTTGGAAGAAGGCAAGTCTTGCAGGGGGACTATACCTGTGGTCCACATGGCTGAACCTAATCCTCACAGTGGGGGCGCAGGGAGGGAGTGTGACCCAGGAGGGAAAGATCAGCAAGTACAGGGACATAGCAAAGTATCAATTGTCCCAGTGGGACAGAGACTTGGGACATGGGGAAAAAAGCCACCGTTTCCTTAAAGAATTGGGTTCCAGACTCATCGACACCATCAGGGACCCAAGGGCAGCCACTTTCATGTTCCAGCGCCTCAAGTCGCCATCCCGAGGGGAAATGCTTGCTGCATACTTGGCTCACGTCCAGCCTCGGAGGGGCTGGAGGAAATTCAAAGATCTTTGATACATTGTGCATTGTATTCATGTTTATGTTTTTTTCTGTAAATGTATTTTGTTTATAAATAAATGGTTTACAAAGAATATAAAATATAGGGGGTGGGAGGAGAATTTAAAATTCAAACAGCTCCGGGGAGAACCTTGAGTTTTCCCTGAGGTACGTTTATTGTCTTCTCTGAGGATGAGGGTCCCCAGTCCAGCTATAGAGGTGGAATATATATATATATATATATATATATTATATAATATTATATATATATAATATATATATATATAAAATATATGTGGTGTGTGGGGTTGGGGTGTGTGTGTGTGTGGTGTGTGTGTGTGTGTATACACCACACACACACACTAAAAGTTAACTGTAATGCCCACCTAAGATCTTAAAATTGGGTTAATGGTAGTGCACAGGTGGACTGCGGCCTTAATGATCACGAGAAGTATATTTCTTAATATACATGCAACGGCAACTTACTTTAGTCCCATCTCGATGTATGAAAGGATTTTCTGGCCAGTAACTAAGTAATTTTCCGATTTAGTGACTACAGTGCCCTAGATAACCCGCATACAGAAGTAATGAACTAACAACACGGTGACCTAGAAGAACATGTCCACCAGGATGACTATTTAACGTGCTTATACAAAAAAAAACATACTTTAATCCTAAAATTATTTGGATTAGAACATAAGAACATAAGGGAACACAACAGAAGGCCTACTGGCCCATGCAAGGTAGGTCCTTATCAAAACGACCTCTACCCAAAGCTACCAAAGAATTTACTCCCGTACATAATGGCACCAATCAAAGCCAGCCCCTCCCACTCATATATATGTCCAATCTTTTTTTAAAGCTACCCAAGGTCCTAGCCTCGCTGAGCCTACTGGGAAGATTGTTCCATGCATCCACAACTCTAAGTAAAAGGACACAAGTGCAACTAATGTGAAATTTTATTGTGGCCACAATAAAATGCCACATTAGTTGCACTTGTGTCCTTTTACTTTACATATTGTCGGTAATTCTACCAACTTTATTACAATCCACAACTCTGTTAGAAAACCAGTACTTACCTATGTCTTTTCTAAATCTAAATTTTTCCAACTTAAATCCATTATTTCTGGTTCTTACCTGGTTCGACACCCTCAGTACTTTATTAATATCTCCTTTGTTTATGCCCGTCATCCACTTATACACTTCAGTGATATCTCCCTTCATTCTACGCCTCTCCAGAGAGTGGAGATTTAAGACTTTAAGTCTATCTTCATACTGGAGATTCCTTACACAGTAAATAATTTTAGTCATTCTTCTTTGAATGTTCTCCAATGAATCTATATCCATCCTGTAGTAAGGAGACCAAAACTGAGCGGCATAATCCAAATTAGGCCTCACTAGTGAGATATAGAGCTGTAAAATAACTTTTGGACTTCTGTTACTTACACTTCTAGAGATAAATCCTAGTAATCTGTTAGCCTTGTTGCGCACACTTAGGCACTGCTGTCTTGGCTTTACATTTCTGCTTACCATGACTCCCAAGTCTTTTTCACATTCTGTATGATCAAGCTCTACTTCACCTAGATTATAGCTTCGAGGATTATTTTCATTACCAAGGACTAGTACCTTACACTTATCTACATTGAACTTCAGCTGTCATTTTTCGGACCAAGACATTAATTTGTCCAGATCCTCCTGGAGTTCATTGCTATCCTCCTCAGAGTGAATTATACGGCCTATCTTTGTATCATCAGCAAACTTACTCATGTCAATCGTAATCTTTACATCAAGGTCATTAATGTAAATTATGAACAAGAGAGGGCCTAAAACTGATCCTTGTGGAACGCCACTAGTGACTAATCCCCATTCAGATTTCACCCCATTAATGGTAACTCTCTGCTTACTATTGGTAAGCCATGCCTCTATCCATGCTAGAAATTTACCTCCTATACCATGAGCTGCCACTTTTCTTAAGAGTCTCTTGTGAGGCACTCTTTCGAAGGCTTTACTAAAATCCAAGTAAATAATATCATATTCTTTATCACTGTCCACTGCCTCAAATGTTCTATTGAAGAACGTCAGTAAATTTGTCAGGAAGGAACGACCTCTCGTGAATCCATGCTGAGATTCATTAATCAAATTATGCTTTTCAAGGTGACTTCTAATAATGTCAGCTATAGTTGATTCTAGTAACTTGCCGACTATAGATGTCAGGCTTACTGGACGGTAATTCTATGGCATCAGTTGACCAGACACTGACACCTTATGACTCTTCAATATTGAATTAGCCCTTAAGCACTAATGTACTCACACAGTTGTGATCACAAAAGTCAGGTCATAGCTCTTGGTACAGGACCAGTAATTATGATTCGATCCTAGATTGGTTTCCAGGATGCCATCATACCTACTCACCAAACTATTTTGGCCTAACTTTCTAAAGGACTTTTCTTTTGTTAGTTACCGAAGTTTGTAGAATCTGAATCTATAAATTTCAAGTGAATTATTATGATTAACTTCAACTTGAACACTAACATCAAGAATCGATTATGCTTTATAAAAGGTTTTCTCACTATATTTAAGAACGTTTGTCCATGGAAAGGTTAAATAAGGTTAGTTGAGATTTTAGGTTTTGTGACATTATTGTAGACTAGGTGAAGGTTTTATGAAACGTATTACGGTGCATGAAGATAAATTATTATGCGTCATTACTGGTATGTGCCGTTAATGGTATTTTATATTTAATTTTGTGATATTATTATGCGTCATTACAGCATATTATGTAGTATATATAAATATATTAAGCATCACACTCGTATGTAATATAACTTCTCTCAAGTTGAGTATATAAAGTAATAATGTAAAAACAATGGTTAATTGCCCCTCAGAGAAAAGAAAATAATCTTGCTGACACAGAAGGCTAAGCACGACACAAACTTTAATTATAAAATCAGAACAGAGTACAACAAAACCTTTAAGGCACACTATTAATGCCCTTAACTTCTCGCCTGACTTAATTAACAAGTTCCAAGGCATATACTTTAAACATTTAATTAACTTAATTACTTCAACACCCTTTAGGATCTTATTTTTGTAGCACACCGTAGAGCGAGCAAGCACCTCTTACTAGCTCATTGTTTGATGTTCGAGCACTCAACTTTGACGGGTTGTCTCGTGTATGTTTTCACTCAGACCTATGATTGGTAATATTAGCTCTGTGGGCATTTAAAGTTCGCTGCATTAGTTTTTAATGTTTTTTTTTCCTAGTTGTTGCCGTAAAGCATCACAATTTACAACGATCGGAGACAGACAGATAGATAGATAGATAGATAGATAGAGAGAGAGAGAGAGAGAGAGAGAGAGGAGAGAGAGAGAGAGAGAGAGAGAGAGAGACTAAACCTTTATGTAAATAACATTCCAGTAAGCAGAGTTAGGTGTACCAACTGTGCATTCGTGTAAAGACAACACTTTCTACGGATACCCTCCAAGGTTAGACTATATAAATTATCACTTGGTGCGGTTTTATACTAAAAGTAACCAGTCAACTAACAATATTCACACTGGCAATTCTTAAGTAAGTCTGGTATGGATATAATCCTATAAAACTATATTAAAACAACGAGAAGTACAGATTGATTAATCTACAATACCTGAACGACTAGAGGCATATCAGGTACGTTATCTACAGTAGTTCACAACCTAGAACGACCTAATACGAAGTATTAACTTTACTGATAGTTGTTCCGTGGCTAGAACAATCTGAGAGGTATCAGTCACGTTAACAAGAGTCGTTACCATCATTCATCAGAGGTTTAAGTAAGAGGAAACATCAATATGTCTGATATATAACAAACTAAATATTAAAAAAAGGCAAAAATACCATGACTAGAACAATACACAAATAACCCGCACATAGGAGACATTTCGGTCCGACTTGGGCCATTCACAATTCACACTGGTAAATAGTCCAAGTCGGACCGAAACGTCGTCATAAGCTTCTGTTTCTATGCGCGGGTTATTTATGTAAACTGAACATTGTAAGATAAGAAGACACTATTAGAGTACAGGTTGTACTTACCGGTTGGTGCATTCTCCAGCACCTCGCCCAGCATGGTGGTGTTGGGGAAGACAGGAGCATTATCGTTGATATCCTTCACCAACACTGTCACCGTCGTCTCCACCACATGTACCCATCCACTACCAACAATACCACTGGTGCCACTCCCAACATCAGCTAGAGCATCGCCTGCCAGGTTACCTCCGAACCCACCCATTTCAACACACCCACCTCCATTTGTAGTCAAATTTCTAGGAACGTTGTGCAGGAGTTGTGTATTTACATAATTCTCTGTCAATAAAATATCATGCAATTCTCTCTTTGTTTTTTTTTTCTCCTTATATTCAACATTAGTTTGTGACTCAACTTGCACTTCCTCTGTTTCTTTCTCTTTATTTTGTACTCTCAAGTCTCGCTTACTATGAAAATTTGCCAATGATCGGAAAAATACTGATTTTTGAACATTCTGGGTCACTTCTCGCAGTAATTGCTTTTCTTTACCAGCGCTTTTACCCATGTCTGTATACCCAGGTACGGCTGGGGTGTCCGGTACTGCTCAGGGGAGCCTGCTGTCGGTGATGTTTTCTGGCAGGTTCTCGGCTGTTCTCCGTCGCTGCTTGACGATCTGGGACCGTCACCAGCGTGTGAAAGCTGTCTGCTGGCTGTTTAAATCCCTGGCCATCACGCACTGTCACTTGAATCCGCCACACTCCTCTTCCGTGCGGTGGGTCGCGGTCAATTGCCTAAAACGACAGAAACAAATTACAACACTTCCGAGACAAGCACAAGTACATCGTCACTATAAAAAATATTCTAGGAAATTTACCTAAAACAAATTATTTCTTCAATCATTTAAAAAAAATTCCTTTACCACGATTCTTGAGATCCCTTCCCTCCACAATTCCCATAACCCAAACCCCCGGTAACACGACGCACATAAGAGGCCTAGTGACCGTACCTCAACGTTTCCAAGAGGCAGAGGATCTGCAGCTTAGTTCCCTCAAGAAATCAAAGAATTATAACTCAACCCCTCGAGAAACCTATGAGCTAGAGACTAGCATCTACAAAAGGTCGTGACGTTATAGACCAGTAGGTAAACACTCTTAAAAGTCCCAGTACCAATAAGCAGAAACTCATCTTAGTTAAACACAGTAGAAGCATCAGCCGCGTCACTCTCCTAAACTAGGTTATTAATGGGGGAATTGCATTAAAAGTAATATGTTGCATACACAATGCAGCATTGATATCCTGATTAAACTATCATATTGATATCGTAAATCCTTAAAGCTACAGAATAATAAGTTTATCATTTTCTATTTCCTTTAAAAACTTGTCATAGTGGAATCTAAAAAACTCAATAAAATCTGGGGAATTTCATGTTGTTGTGAGGAGGCATTCTTAAGTTATTGCATGGAATCCAATACACAACTTAGTTTAATATAATTCTACAATTCCTACCTACATACCTCAGACTATGTGGTAAATAGGCGCAATGCTCAAGAATTATACCCCTATAAGTAGCATACACCAGTGTGAAAAGTAGTATACACCAGTGTGAAAAGTAGCATACGCCAGCGTGAAAAGCAGCATACGCCAGCGTGAAAAGCAGCATACCCCAGCGTGAAAAGTAGTATACCTCAGCGTGAAAAGAAGTATACACCAGTGTGAAAAGTAGAACACACCAGTGTGAAAAGTAGTACACACCAGTGTGAAAAGTAGTATACACTAGTGTGAAAAGTAGTATACACCAGTGTGAAAAGTAGTATACGCCAGCTTGAAAAGCAGTACACACAAGCGTGAAAAGCAGTGTACACCAGCATGAAAAGTAGTATACACAAGTGTGAAAAATATTATGCACAAGCGTGAAAAGTAGTACACACCAATGTGAAAAGTAGTATACGCCAGCGTGAAAAGTAGTATGCACCAGCGTGAAAAGTAGTATACACCAGTGCGAAAAGTGGTATACACCAGCGTGAAAAGTAGTATACACCAGCATGAAAAGCAGTGCACACCAGTGTGAAAAGTAGTGTACGCCAGTGTGAAAAGCAGTATACACCAGTGTGAAAAGCAGTGTACACCAGTGTGAAAAGTAGTATACGCCAGAGTGAAAAGCAGTATACACCAGCGTGAAAAGTATACACCAGTGTGAAAAGTAGTATACACCAGCCTGAAAAGCAGTGTACACCAGCGTGAAAAGTAGTATACACCAGCGTGAAAAGTATACACCAGCGTGAAAAGAAGTATACACCAGTGCGAAAAGTACTATACACCAGCGTGAAAAGTAGTATACACCAGCATGAAAAGCAGTGCACACCAGTGTGAAAAGTAGTATACGCCAGTGTGAAAAGCAGTGTACACCAGTGTGAAAAGCAGTATACACCAGTGTGAAAAGTAGTATACGCCAGCGTGAAAAGTATACACCAGTGTGAAAAGTAGTATACACCAGCCTGAAAAGCAGTGTACACCAGCGTGAAAAATAATATACACCAGCGTGAAAAGTATACACCAGCGTGAAAAGTAGTATACACCAGCGTGAAAAGCAGTGTACACAAGCGTGAAAAATACTATACACCAGTGTGAAAAGTAGCATACGCGAGCGTGAAAAGTAGTATACACCAGAGTGAAAAGTAGTATACGCCAGCGTGAAAAGTAGTATACGCCAGCGTGAAAAGCAGTATACACCAGCGTGAAAAGCAGTGTACACCAGCGTGAAAAGCAGTATACACCAGCGTGAAAAGCAGTATACACCAGCGTGAAAAGTAGTATACGCCAGCGTGAAAAGTAGTATACGCCAGCGTGAAAAGTAGCATACGCGAGCGTGAAAAGTAGTATACACCAGAGTGAAAAGTAGTATACGCCAGCGTGAAAAGTAGTATACGCCAGCGTGAAAAGCAGTATACACCAGCGTGAAAAGCAGTATACACCTGCGTGAAAAGCAGTATACACCAGCGTGAAAAGCAGTATACACCAGCGTGAAAAGTAGTATACGCCAGCGTGAAAAGTAGTATACGCCAGCGTGAAAAGCAGTATACACCAGCGTGAAAAGTAGTATACACCAGCGTGAAAAGTAGTATACGCCAGCGTGAAAAGCAGTATACACCAGCGTGAAAAGCAGAATACCCAGTGTGAAAAGTAGTATACCCAGTGGAAAAGTTAACACCCGCGTGGGAAAAAAGTATCACCAGCGGAAAAAAATAGTATACGCAGGTGGAAAAAGCGGTATAACCCGTGTGAAAAAATTGTAGACGCCAGCCCCTGGGCGAGTGTATCACCAGTGTCAAAAAGAGTATACCCAGCGTGGGTTTGCCCCCAAAACAGTTAACCAGCGTAAAAAGTAGTATACCAAACGGAAAAAAAGGGATTTCCAAGCGTGAAAAAAAAAGCCCCCGGGGGAAAAAAACACCAGGTGAAAAGCAGATACGTGGAAAAGTAGTAACCCAGCGTGGGAAAAAAAAAGTATAACCAATGTGAAAAAAGCAGTTTTAGCCGCTGAAAAAACAGTATAACCAGTGGGAAAAAGTAGTTACGCCAGCGTGAAAAAACAGTATACACCCCTGTTTTAAAATAGTATACCCAGCGTGAAAAACAGATACACAAGCGTGAAAAAGTAGTTACACCAGTTTTGAAAAAATGGGTTTCACCCGTGTGAAAAGTAGTACCACCAGCGTGAAAAAACAGTATACGCCCGCGTGAAAGTAGATACGGCGTGGGGGAAATTTTGTTACGCCAGGTGAAAAAAACAGTATAAAGGATGTAAAAAGTAGTATACCCAGCGTGAAAAGCGTATACCAAACGTGAACGTAGAAACACAAGGGTTTTAAAAGTGGTTAACCCCGTGTGGAAAGTAGTATACACCAGCGTGAAAAGCAATATACACCAGCTGAAAAGCAGTATACGCCAGCGTGAAAAAAAAGTATCCCAGCCCGGAAAGCAGTAACACCGTGGGGAAAAACTATACCCGGTGAAAAGAGTATAGCCGGTGAAAAGTGTATACCCAGCGTGAAAAAAAAATATCCTCCCGGGAGAAAACACTTTTGAAAAATTGTAAACCAGCTTTAAAAGAAATATAACCCGGGAAAAAGTTTTCCCCGCTGGAAAAAAGTATAGCCAGCGTGAAAGGAGTATCCCCCGCGTGAAAAAGAGTTTACACCAGCGTGAAAAGAATATTTTACCAGTGAAAAAAATTTCCCAAACTGAAAAGGATTAACCCCTTGAAAAGAGTATACGGAAAACGTTTTAAAATGTATCACCAGCGTGAAAATAGTATACAAAGCGTAAAAGTGTTTCAACGTGAAAAGTACACCAGCTGAAAAAGCAGTTTTACCAGTTGAAAAATGTAACGCCAGGGGGAAAAGCAGTATACACCAGGGGGAAAAGAGTACCCAGGGGGAAAAAAGTATGCCAAAGCGTGAAAAAATATACACAGTAAAAAAAGTAGTTACCCAGCGTGAAAAATAGTATCACAGGGGTTAAAAAAATATTCACCAGTGGAAAAGTGTATACCCAGGTGAAAAGCGTTAAAACCCAGCCTGAAAAAAAGTATCACCCGGTTTAAAAAAAATTTACACCCGGTGAAAAAAGGAATATAACATCCGGAAAGTATAACCGCGTGAAAAAGTATACACCAGCTGAAAAGCATTAAAACCCGGTGAAAATGTTTACGCCGGTGAAAAAAATTACACCAGGTTTAAAAGCGTTACCCCAGGTGAAAACGATCCCATGTTTTAAAAATAGTATACCAGCGTGAAAAAAGTTTCACCAGGGGAAAGTGTATACACCGGTGAAAAGAGTTAACCCGTTTTAAAAAAAGTATAACCCGGTGAAAGTTTTTACACCAGCGTGAAAAGAGTATACCCCAGGGAAAAGTAGTATACCAAGGTGAAAAGGGATACCCAGCTGAAAAAGCAGTTAAAACCAGGTGAAAAAATAGTATCCCCAGGTGAAAAAGTGAACCAAAGGTGAAAGCGTAACCCGGTGAAAAGTAGTTTGGCCAGGTGAAAAGTAGTATACCAGGTAAAAAGGGGATACACCCGGTGAAAGTAGATAAACCAGGGGGTGAAAACGTTTTATACCGCTGAAAAACATTAAACCCCCTGAAAAAAGTATACACCGCGGGAAAAAACAGTTTAACCCAGCGAGGGGAAAAAGATATACACAAAAATGAGACGTATTAACCCGCGTGAAAAAAAGATAAAAAACCCGGTGAAAGTATATCCCCGCGTGAAAAAAAAGTATACGAAAAATACTAACACACGTGAAAAAGCAGTGTACCCAGCGTAAAAAAATGTTTTCCCAGCGGAAAAAGTATATTTTTACGTGAAAAAAATACTTTTCACCACGGAAAAGCGTATACCCAGCTGAAAAAGTTATTTCCCGCTGAAAAGCGTATAACCAAAAGTGAAAGAGAAAACCCAGCGTGAAAAAAAGAGTATACACGCGTGGGAAAACAGTTACCCGCGTGAAAAAAAACCCGTACACCCGGTGAAAAGAGATACCAGCGTAAAAACAGTATACACCCGGTGAAAGTAGTTTACCCAGATGAAAGTAGTATACGCCAGGTTTTAAAAAACAGTATACCCAAAGTGAAAAAAGTATACACCAGCGTGAAAAGTAGAAAATTTCCCAGCGTGAAAACAGAAACCAGTGGAAAAGAGTATACGCCCGCGTGAAAAGCAGTATTGCCCGCGTGAAAAATATTTTTTACCCAAGTGAAAAGTAGTTACCCAGCGTGAAAAGGTAAAAA